CTGGTGAGCTGGAGACGAGATCTGCGGATCCAAGGGATCAAGACATTAGGGACGTCACCCTTGGCTCGCAAGGGGAAGACCGTGGTGTAGCGCGAGTAGTCGTCAACAACAATCAGGAAGTACCTCTCCTGACCCTGTCCACGGACGCGGGCTGGGCCCCACACGTCCAAGTGGAGCGTCTGCAAGGGAGCAGTCGTCGGGGGAAAGGAGGAGGAGTGAGGAGCGGCGCGCTGCCGCCCCTCGACACAGGGAAGACAGGGAGGAGCAGGCGAGTCTGGGAGGGGAGGGAGCACCCTGGGAAGACCAGCAACAAGGTCCCGTTTGTGCATGGCCCGAAGGCGCTGCACAGACGGGTGACCAAGGCGGTGGTGCCAAAGGACAGTCTCATGTGCCAGAGAGCGACACGAGCAGGGGGCGGACAGCTGACCTGACGCTGACGCAGACGCAGCTACCTGAGGGGACTCAGTGGTCAATGTGTACAGGTCCGACCCCGGCTCTCGAGTGAAGGTAGCCAGGTGGCGACCCGTCCGAGCACACGTGCAGTGTGTCACGCGCTCGTAGGCAGGGGTGAACTGGTGAACACCCCCGTCCTGGAGCGCACGACCTGCCACCAAGTTCGTAGAGAACGAGGGGAGGTAGAGACCTGACAGCGTGCCGGACGGGACCGCAGGACAAGGAAGGACAGTGGAGGAGGTCGCAATGACCGGGCCCCCAGAGGGGTCAGCAAGGGAGACAGCAACTGGCCGAGCGAGCGGCTCAAGGACAGTGCGGTCACGAAAGAAACAGCGAGAAGCACCTGAGTCCAGTATGAAGGTGTGCAGTGCTGTAGTCGACTCAGTACCAGGGGGCACGGACGCACTAGCACCTAGGGCAGCAGCCTCACCAGGACCTGTGGGAGCAGACGCACTAGCACCTAGAGCGGCAGCCGGACTGGCCTGAATGCCCGGGTCGGGCGGAACACGCAAGTACTGAGCACCCTCTCCACTAGTAAACATCGCATACATGGCAGTGAGAATAGCATCAAAGTCTAGAGCCCAGATATCAACACCCTTCTTTTCCAGATCAGCCCAGCGCGGCAGCTCAGTGGCATCAGGAAACTGGGCACGCCACGCGTCGGTAAGGCGCGCGAAACAGCGCTGCGTGGGGTGCGGCCTCCCACACTGCTGGCCAGTGCGGTCACCAGTGCGAATGACGTACGTGCAGGTAAAACCACGCTGCGAATACCACTCACGGGCGGCCTGGAGGGACGCGGCGTGCTGCTGACTCTGGCCTCCACCAGTGCCTCCACGACCACCACCCCCACCGCCGCCGCCCCGGCCACCTCCACCCCTGCCGCCGCCACGACCACCTCCGCCTCCGCTGCCGCCTCCGCCACCACTCCCACCGCTGCTGTCTCCTCCCCCACTGCCGCCACTAGTCTCCCCAGCCGCGCCTCCACTCCCACCGCCTCCACCCCCACCTCCTCCGCCGCCACCCCCACCCCTGCCCCCCTTGCTCCTGCGGCGCCCGCTCGAAGCAGACGCGGTCCCGACCTTCTCAGCACCAAGGAGGTCGACAGCAGCAGCAGAGGCGACAGAGGGGAGGAGAGGGGAAGGGGAACACCCCTCAAAGAACGGGGTGCGGGGGTCGCCACGAGAGGTGCCTACAGCGACGATGCTCGCCTCAGCTGCAAGTAGTTCCTTCTCGAGGAGGTTAACGGTGAGCTCAGTGGGAGAGCAAGAGAGGAAGTGGTCCCTGACTGCGCGCAGAGAGTCAGGGAGGCGGGTGACGATGTGGTAGAGAGTGATCCAGTGCCGGGGGGGGTTGCTAGTGAGGAACTCGTCAGGCATAGCAGCGCGAAAGCGGGCCTCACTAGTCTTAAGGTGGGTGATGAGGTCAGCAACTGTCTGAAAGGAGGCCAGGTCGGGGAACAGGTAGGGGAGAGTGAGGCGGCCTAGCGTGGCAGAAGCAGGTGAGGAGTAACGAGCGACTACTGCGGTGTACAGGTCCTTAGCAGTCTTGCACTGGCCGAAGTGCTCGCGCTCATCTAGCGGCAGGGAGTTGCGAATAGCAAAGCGAGCGTGCGCGTCACGGGTCTGCCACTGTGAGCGCTGAGTGCTGTCAGCAGTAGTAGGAGGGGCAGTAGTATGGCCGAGGGCATGATCGTACAGTGAGATATCCTCCTTGGCAGTGAGCTGGAGGAAGAGGTGCAGGTCATCTAGCCAGGTGTCGAATTTCACTGGGCGGCCCTCAGCATCGAAAGCAAGTACAGGAGGAGAGGCCATAATGGCAGTAGTAGTAGTAGTATCAGTAGCAGTAGCAGTAGTAGCAGAAAGAACAGAGCCGCTGGGAAGCTGTGCGCTAGGTCAACGGGGCCTGCAGGGCCACTAGGCGAAGTGCGGGCAGGGTCGACTGTCCGGCGGCAGTGGCGCACTGGCGGCAGTAGCTGTGGCGCACGGGGGGCCGTGGCTGCGGTAGCGGCAGAGGGAGCGGCGTACGGCAGCGGCGCACGGGCGGCGGCGGCAGCTGCGCGCGTACAGCAGCGGGAGCGGCGCACAAGAGGGAGCGGCAGCGGGCAACGTGCGGGCGGCGGCTGCAGAGGCGCACGGGCGGCAGCGGCTTATGCGCACGGGCGGCAGCGGCGTATGCGGACGGGCGGCAGCACCGACAGCGCACGGGCGGGAGCGGCAGCGAGCGGTGCGCAAGTAGCAGCGGCAGCAGCGCACGGGCGGCAGCGGCGTATGTGCACGGGCGGCAGTGGCAGCGGCGGGAAACGGGCGTGCGGCAGCTGCGACGGCGAGCTGCGGGCCTGTGGGGCCACGGCGGGGTGTGCGTGAGCAGGCGATGGGCGGCTGCAGCAGCGGGTGCGTCAGCGTGGCGCACAGGGCGCAGCGTGCGGGCAACGTGCGGGCAGCGCGCGGGGCCGCGCGTAAAGAAAACAGCAGCGGCGCACGGGCAGCAGCGCACGGGCAGCGGCGCAAAGGCGCGCGGGCAGCGCGGAGGCAGCGCGACGGGCCGCGCGCGAGGAAACGAACGCGCGCGCGGGCGGCGGGCGGGGCGCGCGCGTGAGAACGGCCGCGCGCGGGCGGCTAGCGGGTCGCGCGCGGTAAAAAAAAGAAAGCCGCGCGCGTGCGGCTGGCGGGCTGCGTGCGCGCGGTAGGTAGGAGGCGCACGAGGGCGCGTAGGCGCACGAGGCGCACAGTAGGTAGGTAGGTAGGTAGGTGGGCCCAAAGAACGGTCCTAGTGAAGGACCTGCTCTGAAACCATGTCAGTAATAACGGACTGGAATGAGGCAACTAGCAGTGAGTTTGGTACAAATATGCAACCCTAGAATGGTGACCCTCCTATAGGCTAACCCACTATAGCCTACACAGATATAACATGTATAATGTTTGACAGTGTATCCCTTAAGGGGGTGTTGTTTCCCATATTTTCTATTACAAGCAAGTTAGGGGGGTGTGTTAAAGCTATATTTATTATGTAACCTGATTGCTGTAGTTACTGTGATATTTGTACCTTCTGTATGTGGTGGTGTACCACATCTCTCTCTCTCTCTCTTTGTGTTTTGCTACATGCACTTGTTGTGCTACAGTAAAGCCACCTCATTCTCTCTTCTTCTTGGCGAAAAAATCTCAACACCACTTGGCCTAGGCTTTTAAGCCTAGGTTTAACCAAAGCCTTCCTACTTGTGCTACTATCTTGACAAGAACCTCTTGTTCGACATGCCCATTTCATGAGTTATTAATCATGATTCCTGCCTTGCGCCTTCTCATTTTTGTCCAATTTCTTTCACTCCGTTGGTTGAGACAACACTTGTTTTGAAGAACAAGACTCATGTCACAATATAAACCACATCACAATTGGAGGATTTTGTTGAACATGGCTTGACGAGGCGGATTGTTAGGCCGACGAACATGAATGAAGCGAGATTGCGCTTCATGTGCTATTGTGCCTCATTCATCGAGACACGCAATTAGCAGATGGGCCAAATTACCACCAACAACGTTAAAACGAGAGCAATGAGGGTCAATATAAGAGGTCAAAGGAGAAGAGCTGGTAGAGAATCATATGAGCAAGATTGATAGGAGAAGGGATAAGATTTGAAGAAAGGGACAGAGAGAAGATATGGCTCCACTGGTGAGTTCGGTTTACTCTCCAAAACCGGCGGCTCGTTCGAGAGAGAGTGAGAGAGAGAGAGAGATGGCTTAGGACTAGTCCTTAGCCGTTTTTCAGCCTCTCTAGCCTAGTCCTTAGTCCTTAGCCGTTTTTAGCCTGTTCTTCCTAGTATAAAGCCCCTAGATCTCTGCCCATGGGGCTCATTCTCCACTGGTGAGTTCGGTTTACTCTCCAAAACCGGCGGCTCGCGCCGGCCGCCTTCGGCGGCCGACCCCCGCTCGCTTGCACGGCCTTCGGCCGCGCGTGAGGGGTGGCAAGTGTCACAAGTCCACTGGTGATCCCCGATTGATCCTAGGGAAGGGTTACAGGCACGTTGGCCTGGGGGGTTATGGGCGCACTCACCCGCTACACAAACAAGCCCTTTTATCCCAGTGGTTAGTGGCTGGGATTCTGACAGCAAGGGGAGACGAAAAACAAGGTATATCTCGGCATGGGGTACAATAACGGCGCCTAACAAGACAAGGCTACCACAAAACACCCCCAGGCGAGGGCATTCCGCCATGGGGAAGCCCAAGGCAAGGCCCAAAAACACAGGGGCCGCCAAGGGGAAGGCAACCACTACTTTGCGAGTATCCAGCAAAGCCTCCCGTCCATCCAGCGCAGGACGGATGCGGCTGCTGATACAAGGCCAAGGGGTGCTCCTCGGGCAGACTCGGCGAGCCGCAAAACAGCGCCAGGACCGGGGCCAAGAGCAGCCACAGGAGCTGCCGGCACGAGGCCAATCAAGGGGAGGTAGCGCATCATCTCCTGCGCGGCGGACACGGCCGCCGCCCGCTCGGACGGCAGCATCCCCTCGACCTCGACACCCTTCCACGCCACACACACGTGAAGCTGGTCAAGCACGTATGACAGTAGCGTCAGACACGTCCCCACGTGCAATACGCGCTGCTCGACGAGGGGGGGCAGCGCCGCCGCGGGTGCAGCAACAGGAGGGGCGGGTGGATGTAAGGGCAACTGGGGAGGCTGGGGTGGAGGCTGTGGGGGCTGAGGAAGGGGGAACGGGTTCTGCCGAGGCTGCTGCTGCTGTCGGTCTTGGGGCGGTCCCACCGGCGCGAGCTGCTGCTGCGGCTGCGCTGGAGCTGGCGGAGTCGGGGCCGGCGGCGCCTGCGGTGGCGGGGATTGCGGGGGGAGTGCCTGCTGCATTGCCAGACGACGCCTCTGACGACGTCTCAGCCCCCCACCCCGCTGCCACGCCCCAGATCCAGTCGACCCCGGCAGTGCGGGGTCCAGCGGCGGAGCGGGAGGGAACGGTGGCACCTGGGGAGCTGGCGGCCGTTGCGGCTGAGGCTGGGGCGGCAGGACCTGGTCTGGCGGCTGTGTCTGCCGCTGTGCCGGAGGTGGTGCTGCCGTTGGAGGAGACTGGTGTGGCTGCCGCGGCTGAGGCGACGGAGTTGGCCGAGGGAGCGCCACCGGCAGAGATGGAAGGGGCAGCGTTTGCTGCGGCTGCAGCAGCCGCCACCTCTGTCGACGGCTTAATTTCACCCTCTGGGGCAGGTCGGGCAGCGTTGCCGCTACGTGAGGATGGGGGCCCGGCGGCGGAGGAGTTACAGACGGCACCAGGCTGGGCGGATTCCCCGGCACCACTCGGGACGGCTGAGATTGCTGCGGTCGTGGCTGGAGCGGCGAGGCGACAGAGAGGATCCCCGTCCGAAGAGACTGCGCCGACTGTTGCTGAGTCCGCCGGAACTTCTGTTGCTGCCGCGGCCGCAAACACGCAGGGGCACGGCCAGGCGGGGGGTGATAGACCGGGTCCCGGGGCCGGCGCCGTTGCCGGCGCCTCTCACGGGAAGACGGGGAGGAAGCTTCGCGTTTAGCCAGCACCGAGGCGGCTCGGAGCAGGGCTGGGACCTGGTGCCCTGGGACCCCTCCTGGGCTGGCTGTGGCAAGGGCAGTCGCCAGAAGAGCCAACGCGTCCGTTGCCATCGCCAGGAGGACCGTCAGGACGCGTGCGCCGCGGTTGACTCGAATACGCAGGAGCCGGCACTGCCGCCGCCCACTGAGCCTGATAACGGCAACCGGGCCCCGCCAGTGGCGACAGAAGCGGCAGCTGCAGCCGCTAGGGTCGCGCCTCTGCAGATTGGCACCAGGCGCTCGGCAAGGCTGGGAGCAATCACTTGGGGCCCGCCACATGGCGGGCGGACACCGTGGATGCCGGCTGGGCGTGGGGGTCTCCCTGGCGCGGCAGGACCCGCAGGCGGCGCAGGAAGAGGTGCGCGCGGGGGTTTTCGCGGCAGTTTTAGGGTAGGACGAGGGGGGCGCAACCAGGCCCCACGAACCGATATCCCCGTAGGGACGGGCCCTTGGCGGGAGCGCCACGATAGGCCAGAAAGGCAGGAGGCGGTAGCGGGAGCGAATGAGGAGCACGGGGTTACTGACGTCGGCGGGAATGACCCAGACTTTATGGGCGGGGAGGAGGAGGAGTCTGAGGAAATCTCCTTGGAGGAGGAGGATCAGAATCCTGGGAGGAATCCCCAAGCGGGGAGAGGCAGGGGTACACAAGGTGGTGCGCCACCGACCCCAACGAGGCCGACACTGCTGCCACAGAAGCGACAGATGTCCCTTCCCCGTCCGACCTGGCGGAGCTCGACGCCATCTGGCAGGCAGCAGGGGAACGGAGGGTTGACATTCTCCAGAGAGGGGACCAACCCTTCCTTATCCGCCGTCTGCCACCTCAGATCCTCGACCGCTACTGTTTGTGCCTGCTGGCAGCTCTTTTTCGCCTCCAAAAATTTCCGTCATGCCAAGGTGGCTGGACTATCTTCCAGTTCCTCCCAAGACTCACGCTCAGGCCCCCACCGGAACCAATTACAGGTAGCCGCTGGGTTGTTGTTGAAGCCCGGCTCCACAAATTCCAAAGGGGCGAGTGGGAGGAACTGTTCGAGGAAGCAGGGGTCATCCCCGTCACGGAGGGCCTGATAAGACACCAGGCTGATGAGGCGGGTGTTTGCGCTAGAGCTGAGGGGCTGGTAAACAAAGGCAATATCTCAAAAGCGGTGTCGGCGTTGAAGACTGGCCCCCTGGTGAAGCCCACAACAGCGACCCTAGAGGCACTCCAATCTAAACATCCAACGGCCGAGATTCCAACCCCGACATGGGTTACTGGTATCACAAACTCCGACCTGGCAGTTCCGCTGGACACACTTCGCGAGGTCCTGGCGAAATGCCCAAACGAGGTAGGGGCGGGGCCTTCCGGCACGTGCTTCGAACATCTGCGAGACCCAGCACTAGCCAACGAGGAACTTTTCCTACATTTCGCGAGAGCTGTCAACTCGCTCCTCAGCAACTTCCAACCCCAGCACGTAAGGGACCTGCTGCTCCCCTCGCGGCTTATCGCACTGGAGAAACCCAATGGGGGAGTAAGGCCGATTGCAATTGGCGAAGCTCTGCTACGAGTGGTGGCGAAGGCGGCTCTAGCAACCCTGGGAGCGAAAATTAGGGATTTCTTCTTACCTGTGCAGCTGGGCGTCGCGGTGCCGGGAGGAGCTGAGTGCATCATCCACTCCGTTCGCGCACTACTTCGAGACGACGAGGAACGCATGGCCCTGCAGTTAGATGTTGAGAATGCGTTCAACAGTGTTGAACGGCCAGCTTTCCTGGGGGCGCTTCAGTGGTCGAATCTAAGCCCGCTTCTCCCCCTCGTACGAAACCTCGATGATGGCCCATCGCGCCTGCTGGTCGACCACCGTCTCGGAGTTGATCACATCGAGAGTTCGCGGGGTGTGCGGCAAGGCGACCCTCTCGGTCCCCTTCTGTTTGCGGCGGCAATCCAACCAGTGCTGCTGAGCATTGCCATATCCATGCCGAAAGTCGCGGTCGTCGCCTATGCGTACGATATCACGATAGTCGGCCCACGGGAGGGAGCCGGTGTCGCCTTCACTACGATCGCCAGCAAACTGGCGAACTGTGGTCTCCGATGCAATATCTCAAAGTCATCGGCGTGGACAGCTTCGGAGGAAGGGCGAGGCGCCGCGCTACCGTTGGACCTGTCTGCCACCACTGGGGGTATTAAGGTGCTGGGCGGTCCCATTGGCTGTGAGGACTTCTGCACCACCCAAGTCAGAGCGACGCTTGAAGATGCAGCTGGGACCCTGCCGCTTATCAGCCAGCTCAACCCGCAGCACGCTCTGCTAATCCTCTCGCGCAGCATCTCCCGTAGGATTTCGTATCTCCTTCGAACTACCCCAGCGACGGCCCTGAGTAGGACGGAGTGGAGGGAGTGGAGCGAGGCCCTGGTGGGATCAGCACTCACAGCTGCGAAGCTGCGCATACCCACCTCGGAGTTGGAGCAGAGCCTGCTGTGGCGTCAAGCGACGCTTCCAATTCGGCTAGGAGGCATAGGGATCATCGACCCGACCTCAGAAGCCCCTGCCGCATACATCGCCTTCGTAGCAGCCGCACATAACCTCCTGCAACATCTGAACCTCCCCCCGGACTGCCTTCTACACTGAGCTACGACCCTGCTGTCACATGACTGGACCCCGCCACCTCTTGGAACAAACCCCTTGGCTCCCCTGGAGTCGAGCCTCCCGGCGCCGGCCCTAGCAGCACTCGGGCAGTACCGGGGGGAGACCCCAGGGACGGGCAACCTCCAGCTCTGCCTCTCAAGGTGCATCAACCAGCAGCGGGCAGCAGATCTCCTAGGGGACACGGTGACCGATCGGCCCGGAGCCAACAGGGGCCACGCGATCCGGTTGATAAGTTTGAAAGGGATGGGAGCAGGTGACTGGCTCCATGCAGTGCCAACAAGAGATGACCTTACCATCTCCCCCGGTCAGTTTTCGTTGGCCCTTGGCCTCCGCCTCGGCATGGAGCTCCCAGTGGCCGAGGTCTGCCCGTGCAAGCGAGCTGGCTCAGCAATCCTTGACAAAAGCATGCCTAATCACCTGCTTCGATGCAAGGACGGAGGGGACGCGGTGAGAATACACTATGCACTAGTGTATGCAGCACTGCGCATGGCGAAGGAAGCAGGCTACATGATCTTCCACGAGACCTCCGCCTTCTCGAGGCCGGTGTTGAGGAAGAGGGTGGACCTAGCAGTCCAGGATGAGGAGTCTGGTGAGACCTGGGTAACAGATGTCACTGTCACCGACCCAGTGCTACAGAACAGGGACCCCAAGGCACGAAGACCACCTGGCTGGGCGGCGGAGGAGGCTTCACAGAGGAAACACCGCCTGTATGAGGGACGACCCAGCTATGCTGGCTTCTTCGGCTTGGCAGTCGAGTCGTATGGTGCAATGGCGGCAGACACAGCACAGTCCTCCGCATGCTGGCCACCCATGCGGCAAAGAAGAAATTCCGGCAGGGCCGCCTTACCACCACCGCTGCTCGGTTGAATGCACATTACAGACAGCGTTGGTCGGTGATGCTGCAGCGGAGCCAGGCCATCTCCCTCCTCTCGAAGTCCAAACGTGCTGCCGAGGCGGCATTCCCACAGTCGGCAGCAGACCCTTGGGCACCACGGCTTGGGGACCTGTGGCAGATGACACAGGACGACTATGAGGAGAGGGAGGCGCCTGCCAGGGCAGCATAGGAGGCCGGGGGGGGGGGGGGGGGGGGGGGGGGGGGGGGGGGGAGGAGGCTAGGGGGAGTAAGGTCGGCGGGTGCTGCAGGGTTGAGGACGGGGAGGGCAGAGAGCTGAGGACAGGAGGAGCGGGAGGTCCCTATGGACTGGGGTTGCCGCAGCTGCTGGCCGGTTTGGAGACTAGGGTACACACACACACACACAGTATTCCTGGCAGGTCTTGCATGGCTGGATTGCTCGCTTGGCGGCTGGTTGTTTAGCTTCCAGCACCTAGGTGCCCACTTGCTTAGGCTGACTAGCTACTACCACTCCCTGGCTTGCCTGTACCTCTCGGACAATTTCAATACATGACTGCTTGAGAGAAGATGTTGAGAGTGTTAGAACCGATATCATAACGCAGTGAGGCCCCGAGTAGGCTTGAGCAAGTGTGATAATTCACTCACTCCTCAGCATCACCCCCCTTCTTCCTTATGTTGTCGCTACAGTTTTGCACGTTTCATTTATGGATCTTACTGGTTTCTAAACGAGGGGCAAACGACATTCGGATGGCTGAGTCGAATGCGATCAATCTATGTCTACTAGCTTTTCACAAAGTGATCATTGTGTTGAAGCAGAAGCAATTATATTCACTTGACGTCCCTACGTATCACAAAGACATCTTCAAAAAAGTGTTGGTGGACTTCTTGGGTGGCAACTCTCATACTGTCATGATTGCCAATTTCTCTCCTTCGGATCGGCTCTTCAATGATATGAAGAACACTTTGAGATAGACACAGACAAGCAGTGTGGCAGGCAAGCAGTGTGGCAGGGAGGGGAAGCATGGAAGCCAAGCAGCGAGTTAGGCAGGCAGTGAAGTAAGCAGGCACCCACTCAAGTGGGCGAGGGAGGGGCGCGGGCGCGCCTGGGCGACGAGGGAGGGGCGAGGGAGGGGCGCGGGCGCGCCGGGCGACAGGGAGGGGCGAGGGAGGGGCGCGGGCGCGCCGGGGCGACGAGTGAGGGGCAAGTGAGGGGCGTGGGCGCGCTCGGGCGACGAGGGAGGGGCGAGGGGGGGCGCGGGCGCCGCCTTGGCGACGAGGGAGGGGCGAGGGAGGGGCGCAGGCACGCTCGGGCGACGAACTCTTGTTTGTTAGCACGTCCAACGATACCGCTTTATATACCTCAAAGGAGAAAATAGAAAATAGAAGTGACATGGCAAACCATCTAGCCTAGCATCCTTGTGGATCCACTAGAGCTAGTGAAATAAGGTGCTAATGCTCTTTATAAACAACAGAGCATAGGGCTAGGAACATGCAA